GATCGTTTCAATATTATGTTGTTGTTCTTGTTAGTAGAATTCTTCTCTTTCGTCATCATGAATTCGCTTTTCTCTTCGAATAAGTATAAGTATAAGTTTATTTCGACTCCATAATCAGCATAACAATAGGATAGGATAGGATAGGATTTACATATTTATCCCGGGGGAGAGGAAAACCGATAAGACGGCTTATCCATATGGCGAACCACGGCCTCTCGTCCGGTCATCATTCCAAGTCGGGTATGGGATTAGTTATATTGATTTTTGTTTTCGGAAGCATGGACTTGGTGGTGGAGGAAGCCGTAACCGACCAGCGGTTACGTGAACCACCCAACGAAGGCGAGGAGTCCAGCAATCCTCTCGCACATAACCATCCCTGCATGGGATTCGAACCTGCGAACCCATGCAGAGGGTAATTAGAGGTGCGGTGGCGAGCGTATTCCTAACGCTTAGCCCGTTGAGTCACACCGCCGCGCCTGATAAAATGATTGGTAAAAAAAATACTGGACCAATTGCTTTGAAATTTTCACATTGTTGTTTAATGTCATTGGTAACACCGGTATGTTAGTCTTTGGTAACACCTATCATGTTCGGGACACTGATAGCACTGTAACACTGTCAATCTGTCTTTTGGTATCTAGTTAGGATGCCAACCGTCGGAATGTAACTGTATTTGCTTCAGTTAGATTACCTGTGTTTTAGGGTCTTTTTATGTTTGCTAAATTACTGCTAATTCTTAAGTATGATACCGAGGGTGCTTGTTTTTGAATTTATGGTTAATAGTGTAATTACAGTTGCTTTCAGCTCTTTGTGCAAATGGTTAGTTTGTCAGCTTTCATAGTTGTTGGTTGTCATAGAGCTTCTCAATCGATTTTTGAAGTTGTCCTAAATTTTAGGGGTTGTTTTAAGATTTTGGGATTTTTCATTGTATATATTATTTTCTAATTGTGTTATGCTTGGGGTTCGTTGTTTTCATTGTGTCTTTTCTGTTCTGTTGATCCTATTGGAGTATTTGGTTGTATTCAATTTTCAGATTGATAATTAATAGAATAACATAGCATTAATTGATGTAAAGATTGACATGGGATCAAATTAGAAGATATTACGGACTTGGAAAAACAATACATACGGACGGTACGCTACACTTGCTTTTGTTGTTTGAATTAGCTTAAGTTCGTTTGCAAAGTCGAAGCCATGGCTATTTCTTAATGGAGTAGATTTGAATATCCTGACTGACTCCGAGCACCTCTGTCCACGTGACTGTGTTTCAGCATGTCGATCTCTCTTCTTTGCCTGACTGCCGTCTAGGTCAGACACTTTTTCGTTACTGCATGTTTTGTCCGTTTGATCTGTTCTTTCTGCTGAGAAATAAAGTTATTTGCTTTATACATCATATCATCGAAACTATTGTGTTGCTTCGCAAGATCAGAATCTTCTGATGGTTCACAAACTCGCGAGCATACCTGTTCGTGAAACTGCACGCAAGCTCTTGATTTAGAGAGCCAGGTCGTTGAGACGTCTTCCATTCTTCCCTCCGATCAATGCCAGGGTGGGGGAGTTCCACGATTTTATGATTGGTTCTCTTGTCGAGTCTGCTAACGCTGATCTCCCGTAACTGTAATCAGCCCATTACGTGCAGAGAAACGACATTTTTTCGTCATAATCACCCCAACAACAAAAACTATCAACAGGAATAAATTGGAAAATATCGATATGTACACTTCATTCATAAACAGGAAAAAAACAATGCAGGTTCAAGGATCGAGCCTGTATTAGTAAAAGGATGAATAGGGTAAATGAGAAAGAAGATATTCTGTGATTGGGTAAAATTAGAAACAACAACAACGCAAACCTCAACAACAAATTAGCAAATCATTCACACTTTTTTAATAAATTTATCTACGTCAATCCTTTACCCTTTTTTGATTTTTCATGCGAAAATAATTTGCTTTCTTTATTTAATAAATTTTTTTAAGTGATGAACAAAAGTAATCGAAGTATGCTGCAAAAGATCTTTATTGCTCGAAGTTAATTTTCCTTTTATGCAGAGATACGATTAAGTATTTGCATGGAAGACTGGTCATTCGAATTCGCACTCAAATAAATTTTTTCTTTTATTTTTTCATAAATTGACAATGCAGATTCAAATATGAGGTGCCTAGAGCCCTAGACCAGTGGTTCCCAAACTCTTTTTTTCGCGACCCCAATTTTCATAAAATCAAAGCCCACAGATACTCGCGACCCCACAACTAGAAACGTTGAGAACATATAAATAATAGTACTTTATATCAGTTTAATTACCTCAATGTAAACAATTTACCAACTGTATATCGACTGCAAGTGGACGTTGAATCTCTTAGATCCGAATTATAATGGTTCTTTGGCGAAACATAGACGGACTCGATAAAATTTGGTAGATTGTATGGAAGCGTACGATAATTCGGAAATATTGTAAGATTGCTTCTGAATATATGTAAAGTTAAAACATTATTTAGCGTAGTATATTCCTAAAGTGTCTTTTTTATTTTTAGTTTGATGTTAACATATTACAGATTGCTCCATTATTAATTCGAAAGTAAAACAGAGCATGAAAGTAAAATAGGGAAAAACGTGTACGGAATCACATGTTTTAAAAGGCGTTTTATTATGCTATAACTCATTATGTTTGACTGTGCGGAACGCTTCGAAATTATGTATAAAACATCTAGTTACGTAATATTGCAACACGAAAATATTTACTTTCATGCAGGGGCGGTGTGGACAAAACAAGTAGCCCATTTTAGACACGTGCGCGAACAAAGCGCTATCGCAACTGATCGCAACTTAAAGTATAGTTACTCGACTAAGCCGCCGCCAGGCAATCAATACAGTACTTATCAAACGCCTAATTCGAGGGCCAATCGTTGCTTGGTATATTCGATAACCACCAATCGGCTACACTGATACAAAATAATGCCCAACTTAATTTCTCGCATCCTGGCAAAATATCCGATTCGCGTACCAGCGGAACAATTACTCATTCGGATGTAACATGATCAAAATAGCTATGAAAAAGGAAATATTATTGGCGCTTGTAACACTATCATCCAATTACATTTACTAACACCGGTACCTTTCGACCAGTTCGAAAGGTTGAGTACCACATGAAAGTTTTTTCGAGCAATTTTGGGCCGTTCGGATAATAAATGGTCGAGGTATTGCACAAAAATCCGATGTTAAGCACTTTTACGATACATTCCGACCAGCACAAATTTATTATTCCGACTTTCAAATGCTATTCACTCGTGTGCGCATGTTTGACATAAATTAAGCGACCCCGGAAAATCCACAGTTTGGGAACCACTGCCCCAGACCATCTGTCCAGTTCTTCCATGATTATACAAATTTTAGAGAATAGTAATTTGCATAACAGACGTGATGGGGAATGTTCGCACGCTAAAGCATCGGCCCCGCCTACAAATAAATAACCCTTCTGTGCTATTATAAAACGGTAGTTAATATTTTTATGCCTCCTACGCTTCAAAGGTCGTAAAAGTAAGGAAAAAATATCTATATATCAAGTCATGTTATGAAAAAACAATTTCACATATTACTGAAAATGCTTTCGTTTATTGGTTTGGTCTCTTTGGAATGAAGGAAATGTACTTCGCATATTAAACGTCCTGTCTATACAATATTTACCTGCATTGGTATTGCGCTTCACACTGTACAAAACTTAATTATTATATAGCATGGCATTGAGAGAATAGGGAAGACCATTAATTCACGATATTAATATGAAATTTTAGTAAACAACAAATTCAAAAACCAGTAATCTTTCACTTGCGAAGATCCCATTTATCACAGCCGCGTGGCACAAGGAGCTCAAGTTTTTTCAAAATCATGAAATTTCAGTAAATTAGTTGCTCTTGGTGACGCATATAATAAACCAGGTTTCAATTACGTAACACGTTGTTTAATCTTGATAAATTTGATGTTGATTTTAAGCAGATGGTCTGAATAAAATTGCTACTAACGCTAGGCAAATGGAATAAAAATTGATGAATAAATATTGAAAAGAACACAGCGTAGTCGAGTATATAAACCTGATAATGAAGTCCGAAATGCACTATAGGATAAGGGACTGCAATAATAGAAATAGAATCTACGTTTAACCGCAGAGTCACGACTAAAATATTTGAATTATAAATGGAAGCTTAAGAAAAATGCAATATGCTCGAGACTTCTCATGTTATACAATATCTGAAAATATTACTAAATTTAATGGTATTTATTAGTTTGATTTATGGGGTATAGATATTCGTTGTTTCAGTCAGTCAGTCAGTCGTTTATTTTTCACCAAAATGAAACATACACGTAATGCGAACAAAAATTAGAGAAAAACATAAAAAAAGGCATTTCCTGGTTTCAGATCGTTTTAGTCCCATTACTCTCACCCCTTTGCTGCTCTGAACAAGACTCTAAACAGACATCAACTGATAGGTAGTACCTACCATGCATATTTTTGTTTCCACTCTAGAACACCTCAGTTGCGCTATAGTGCAAGAAATATGTGATCTTGGTCTTACGTATGCGTATCCTGTTTCTTTGCGCTATGTAAAGTGTTTATAATAAAGTCTGATTTCTAACCCGTCAGAAGTCAATAAAACAAAGTTTTCCTTATCCAATTGAATTAATCCTTGTTGAAAATGAATGAAAATCCAACTGCATACGAAATATTGACAATAACAAACTGAACGGGCAACTTCTTGTTGGTGAGATCTCCCGAGAGCGTAACTTCATAAGAGTGAGTATTTGGTCATTTTGATCATGTTTTGCGCGCACACCGATAAATGGTGCTGGTATCCATTGTGGGCTAACCATAAATTTCAAGTCACAGCCAGACATCTTAATCTGGAACGCCACCATGCTTACGACAGATAGGCTAATCACAAGGGAAACGTATCGTTATTTTTTTTTCATCTATTAAACAACTTTCAGGTCTAATCATACCTGTCATAATGTCTTTAAATAACCACAAAGACGGTAAAAGAATAAAACCGGAAAAGGCGAATAGACTTCTTGAAATAGCTTATAAAGCAATACAAGATGATGTGCATTCGATGCTGCAAGAAAATAATGCTATGTTGGAAAAAAGTTTGCAAAAGGCAGCTTCCGACGCCAAAGAAAAACTTGATTCTGCAATGCGTGTCGTAAAAGCAAACTTAGAATATTTACATAAAGAAAATCTTGATCAGAAAAAGAAAATACAGGAGTTGGAAGATATTATCAAAACCATGCAAACAGAGAGGGACGAGCTAACTGAAAAGCTCAAAGAAGAAGCGAAGCAAGGGACGAAGGATGAGACTGAAACAGGTGATCAACCCGGGACCTCCAATAGTTGCGAACCAAACATATCGAAAGATGGTGCGTATATACCATTTTATTGTTTTATTGCGAGTGGGGGGGGGGGGGGGGGGGGGGGGGGCGCCTATGGATCGTTTTGCAAAACTTTTGTTAAATGTCTTGTTGTTGTTGTTAAGAAAAAACATATCGATCGATCGGATTTCAAATTTCCAGTACTCAAAAATGGTTGAATACACTAGAAGGCTGTTACTTTAATTTTTTGTTTTTCTAAATTTGGAGTCCTATGGCAGACAGTATGCTACCGACTTATTTTAATTCATGCAATCACTTTTTCTTTTATAAAATATGGGAATACTGCACTCCGCTTGTGTTGTACAGAAAACAATAAAAAAAAAATTGGCAAAAATATCAATCTATACACTTCATTTATAAACATTTAAAAACAATGAAGCATCGAGCCCGTGCGAATGAATAGATTAAAAAACAAAGATCCTATGACTGGGGAAAGTAGCAACAACAACAACACCGCAAACCACCACAACAAATTAGCAAAACCATCCACAGTTTCACTCACAGTTTCGATATTAAATTTATATGTGCAAATCACATGCGTGCGTTCCACCGTTTTTGATTTTTCACGCAAAAGTGATTTGTTTTATTTATTTGATAAATATTTGATTATATATATTCGCAACAAGAAAATCAGTGATAAAACGTTCAAGAAATTGTTTCGATTTTTTTTTGTTAGATCGGCTTTAACTGAAAATACTCTAAAAATCTTTCCTATTAAACGTAATTGGCACCCATTCCAAGATCCCATGTAATGCTAAATTTCCATTCTTCTAAAATTTAGGGAAAAAAGCAAATGTGTGCTATTATTTGAACAAAGAAAATTAAGTGCCTTTATTGATTTTCTAGTTGATAAATGTTATTCCGCTAAAAGGCGTTGAGTAAATGAAAAGTCTCGTTTGAACAAGCCTAATTTTGTATTCAAATTACAATAAGGTAAACAGACATAGCGGTGACAAAAGATTAAAAATCATAAGACCATATGGACCTCGGTTAACGGAGGCAAAAATATTGATTTAAATGTATTTGATATACCACAATCCGGGGACAGGAAAAACAAATGGAAGCATATGTAGCTTGATTGCACAACATTTTGAGTTGATATCCCCCATGGTTCATTTGGCAAAATGCGGCAAGCTGTGTTTTTTGGGGTTTCGTTTGAGGTGATTCAATTTTTTTTATTTGTATTTTCAACAGGAAAAATAAGGACCTCCTGAAGTAACCTAATAACCTAATATGCAAATACTGTGATTCACATAAAACGAATCACTTTGAAACAAAAAGTGAAAAACTTTCTATTTTTTCATAATAAAATTTAGGTCTGAAGATAAACTTTGAGAAAGAGGTCAGCGGCAAAAATACGATGATAGCTTGCGAGGTCGCTGCTGTGTCAGAAGGAGGTGACATGAGGTTTTTAGAAGCTCTAGACACGAATGATACAAGAGCTATGATAAATAAAAATGCCGAAATACCTGATATGGAAAACGGAAACAGCAATACTGAAGGCTCGGTCAATGTAACAGGAATTGAAGGTTTGAGCTTTCCTTCTCTTGTGAGCAAGACAAATGATCTCCCGAATAGCTCTTTTCCTATTTTTAAAAGATCTTAAACATTCTTTCCCGGGCAACCTCCAGTATACATGTCACATAACGAAGTACTATAAATTTTGAAGGATTATACGACATTAGTCTCAAAAATTGTACAAGATAGCTTCCATGATAACAATTTTGAAGAAAGATAAACATGGCTAAATCAACCATTCACCTTGCCTTGCAGGAACTTTCGCAGGTTGTGGAAATGTGAACGTGCAAAAAAATGAACAGAACATTTTTCTTCCGGGCGACAAAAGAAACATTGAAGGTTTGTTTGTTGGTAACATATCAAAATTGTGCGAAGTATTAGTATTTTTCGGTTAATTGACAACCTTTTTTTTTCATGCAGTTGACGAAAACGGTGAACCAGTGGAATACAGCAGAGCAGATCGTGAGTTCCATGGAATTCTCATCATTTGCCAAGCTCTGACATTTTTTTATTCCAGAAAATATATAATACGATTTAAATTAACGATTACGATTTATCACCAAACAACCTGTGTCAAAATAACATATGGTTTATGTCATCCGGATATGTCGCAATACAAATATCACTGGCTTTTCACTTGAGCCATATTTTTGTATACGCTTAAATACTATAATGTGACTATTTTGCACATGATAGTAATTTGACATTTAAACTTGAAAATCTACCACGTTTATAACGAAAGAATCTTATTGAGGAAGAATAATTTTGGTGTGTATTTTAAATACTCATAAAAATTTGCAGAAAACGAATTGTCTGAATATCTGGATCGAGTCCGGGACGAAGCAGCACAGGATGGAAACGGTCTGTTGGATACCATTCACAGTATAAGCCTAAATACAGCAGTCATTGGGGGACGGCAAACCGCTTACTAGTTTTTATCATTTAGTATGATTAGATGGGGATGCGCCTATACATGATATAATACAAGACAAAAATATGCACTTTGATAAAGAATGTATATTGCCAGCTCAATGACCTGATTGCCTAATTTTAAATTGTTTAATCATTTTATGGAAAAAAAAATGTAGAACAACGATTTTTTAACGCGTTTGGATGATGTAAATTTGTACTTTGGAAATTGAAAATGTCCTAGAACACTGTTGTTCTATACATTGTGTCATAATAAAGTTGAAGTAGCTTTATGCAAACCATATATTTATATGCTCCTAACCAAATTATCGATTTAATGCAATACTAACGTGATTTTAAAGATTATAAATACTGTTAAAATTCAGAAAATCGTGTGCCCCCGAGGCGGCCAGTTAATACCTTAAATATTTACTTTGATTACTCAGCTCTAGGTACAAACCGATCGACCCTCGAGCAAATATTTCTCAGAGTGATAAACCAATAACCTCGAAACAGTGATAATTCAATTCAAATCATTAGTCTAATAATATTATATACGAAATCATATTTCTAACTGTTCGTTTCAGCGGGTGAAGCCGTCGAATTGAGCCCCGATGAGAAACAGCAAAAGGGTTTGATTCGCGTTGCTAATATATATAAAAAGGAAGGTACATCCAAGAATTTTATTCAACTTTGTGAACTCCTTGTCAATATGACACCAGCTCAGCTGCGATCATTGGGTCCTCATTTTCAACACATCACTCAGATAGATTTGAGCAATATTCAAATGAACTATGCATTGATGGCAAACTTTTTTCGGTGTTTTGAGAAAAAACGATTCCAATGGCTTCTGTTGAGATATTCTCTGGTGAGATCTACTGACCTTCGAATTCTAGATGAGGCGCTGGGATCTTGTAGGGTAAGGTTTTAAAATAAAGAATAATGATTTTTAAAGAAAAAGAATTCTATAAAATATATATGCAGTATTACAATTAATGGCCAACAATAATAAAACAACTACATTTTGATCTGGATGTCAGATATAGAGTAACTCTGCAATGTCGCCTGCTTTTAAGTATGTCTCATTAATAGTTTATTGTTGGCAAGAAGTCCGAAGTATGACTTTGCAGATTTTTGTATAAAAATTGGAATTATCCCACATATCAAATAGTCGAATTATCGAATAAATGAATCGTTCTAATTAGACATAAACGAAATTGAAATCGAATAATATCTGCCGAGAAGCCACTTCAATACAAATGCAAAAATGACTTGTCAAAATAAACATATGTGTGATAACAGTTACAATTGGAGCATTGAAAAAAAATTGCATTTTTAACCTTTTTCCATATTTATTCGTGCCATTATGCAGCTCGAATACTTGGACATGAGTCACTGTTCATTTGACAGTACGGCATTTATCAACATGGCTCCTTTAATTTCACACGTTGACAATCTCATTGTTAAATCATTGACAATGGCCAGAATAATAGCAAAGGAATCTGTGACGACATTCTCTGCTGAAGATGCTGGACAACTGGCTGAAAGTATCCTAGATTGTGACCAAGTACGACATAGACCAAAATAATATTAATGATGACAATACTTTTTCTAATTTAAAAAAAAAATCATGTATACGTTCACATTCATTTCAAAAAAGTTGCTGTTAGATGAAATTTAACCGTATATCGACCAACATATATGTTGATATATGCTCACAATCGGTATTGTGATTAATTCGGATGATAACTTTGTATCGTCTAAAATTTGAAATTGCTCTTTATGAACAAATTATTTCAATGAACATAGGAAAAGCTTTATTCTGAATTTATTAACTGCATCACCGTTGCAGTTCCACACGTTTTCTCATGGATAAACTACAGTTTGCTTTTTAATAAATTTTAATTATATATGATGGAAAATAACACAAAATTTTTCGAATGACTTACGATCCTATTTGCTATAATTGCATCAATTTAGATATATAATATATTTTCAGGGTATCCTAATAAAAACTATATACTTTAGACATTATCATTGGATATGTCATACAGTTATTTTGAAGATGGCGTCATAAAAGCATTTTCAGATTGCTTACCAAAGTTATCAAAATTTTCTCTTCGTTTCGGAAAATTGAGCACCAACGGACTGAAAATGGCACTCGAAAAAGTTGTAAAAGTAAGTAAAATTTTTAAATATATTGCCACGAGCTTGTAGTACATTCTATTATAAATAATAGGCTTATGATTGGTAAACTGACTCAGGTTTACGACTTAACGTAATTGATCAGAATATGAGGTACAAATGTTCCCCAAAGCAATTATTTATTTCAATACCTTGTGGAGCTTCAAGCGATGAAAATAGCCAATCAAACAAGAATTTAACATTGTTAATATGAATGTAATAAATTTTACCTACTGTTGTTTGCTGACTCAAGTTTATCCCCTAACTCAAATTGGTTTCATTAATATATTATAGGTGAACACTTCTGTAAAGGTGTGCTAAATATTCTTTTATTTTCTGTTACAGGAATTGCCATAAAAATATCCGTATAGTATTCTTCTGTTTGATCAATCAATGCTCATTCATTTGATTCTTACATTGCTTCTTTTAAAACTCTTTATTAATTGACCCTATTTTTCCGAATATCTGCTTTGGATATGATTATTTTATATTTTATTCATATTCAGATGCAAAAGCTTGATTTGACTGGCGTTGCCCTCGGAAATGTCGGAGTGCGGATAATGTCAGAACATCTTCACAAATTCAATATTCTTGTGCTAAGCAATGTCATGCTTGACGATGAAGGAGTACAACCATTGATGGATGCTGTAGAAAAATTACCAGAAAATGTAATTAAAATTAAATATTACGACGATATTTTATCAATAAATCGTATGACAGACGGTATGGTATATTTATATAAGACGTGCTCTTCAAAATACTTCTATAACAGGGAAAAACACATGGTATGAAATTGGAACATCTTTTCTGATAAAAAAAAATTGCCGCCAACCGGACTGAAGGTGGATATTTGGAGATATGATATTTGATTTAAAGTTCGCAAATACCTATCAAAAAATCACATACCTTTCACCATTTTGCAGCATTAATTTAGTTATACTTGTATTGAAAACCATTATCAAAACAGGATATATACGCAATGCAAAGTATATATAATATTCATAAACAACTTAGTGTATAATATTTTTCAGTCCTTGAAGATTCTGGATATTTCTTTAAATCCAATCAATACTGCTAACATATCGCGTTTCTTGAAGACACTAGGAAACTTGAAACTTCTGATGTTCTTTGCCAGCCAGATGGAGTACCAGAAACATAAGGAAGTAGTAGACGAAGAAAAGGTACGTAAAATTAGCTAAGTTTTTATATGAAACTTTAATTGGATGACTAGGATTACCCTGTCATATATATATGTCGATAGTTATATATCGACATATATATTATCGATAGTTTGTCAAATACACTGCCGATTAAAAATCTTTGGACAGGGAGTGTAAGGTACGTGTTGTTGTTGGGACAGAAAGCGCTTTTCTCCTTATATAACATCAATTGTTTTCAGATTGTTAGTAGTTGTAAACAAAAAATGGAAAGTTTCCGGAGAACAGTTGTTGTTTCGTCCCAGACTTGTTGGGTTTAAATATTTGCATCCTCGGGTGGATTTACCACCATATATACATATGAGTTTTCCGTTATATTAATTCCGCGTCCACTAATTCCCCAACAACTGTCTTCAGATTCTACTCAGTGAAGTCATAAACGGAAAAATCAAACGACTGGATGAAAGCAATGATAATCTCAATGCAACCATATTCACACATTGGATAGCTTGTGTAAAACCAGTTGACAATATTATTAAAAAATACGTTGCTGAATTGATCCGATTATATGAAGAAGAAAAACATGGAATGCAAGATTCTGAGGTTTGATATTAGCTAGGATATCGTCAAAAATATGGGAATAACTATTCTATTAATATCGTGCTGAAAAGTCTTTTTTTTTTGTGTAATTCAGCTATTTTAAATTTTTCGTTTTTTGTGACTTATTCTCGTTCGCTTGGAGCTCAGTGAAAACCGAAAAACTCTCAATATTTTCAAATTTCAGTTCCGCTGCAGTAAGTGCAAGACACATATTGCATTTAAAATGGATTCCATACAAAACCCGTGCGCCTTTTTACACCAAGATCGTAAAATGTTGGGGCTCTTGGAGAGTTCGTCTTTTACTGCTGTTTCTCACGCAACATCGTGTGTTCCTGATTCCAACTCTAATAAAAAACATCACTGTTCAACTCCAAATTGCCAAGTCCGTGGGTAAGACTAATTTTGAGTAAATTGTTTCAAATTAAACATTGGTTATTTTATATTTAAAAAGTTTTTCGAAATTTCAAATTTTTTTTAATGCGAATCGTGTGATAAATCAAAAAATAAGGAAGCAAAGCATCTCTTAGATTTTATCAATTTAACACTCCTTGCATAAGATTATTGTATGTGCTCAAAATATAATATATATATAGAAATTGTGCTTGTCTACAACTTTAATTCGAATACAGAGTGCAAATATCTACTACAGTATTTAAATTAGTGATAATGTCAAACACAATATCGATATCCTATTTTTGCATTCAGTTACAAGTTTCACAAATGTAGATGTGTCAACTGCAAACAAAATATCGGAGGATACTACGACCACAAAAATGGAGGGAAATTTTGGTGTCTGTATCAAGAATCTCAAAATTCTTCCGAAGTTGGTAGTTCTAAAGCAGCATGCCGTCAAATGTAAATTACTCCAAACAGAAATAATAGCCGCAGCAACTTCCCGTATATATATCAAAAGTAGCAAGTGAAATAAAGTTGAGCCGCATGTGAACTGTACATAATGTATAGATGTATTATTCTTTCCAATGGGCATTCCTGATAATTTCGCTAAGTATACCTTTTCTCATTCTACTATGTGACTGATACAATTTGCTGCCTCATTCTGGTGTACAAACATCAGTATACGATTTATTTGCACCAGTAGAAAGTTGGGGACAAGTAAGAAAAATGGACTACATCACACCGTATTTTCAAACGGGACTAGAACTGTTGAATTTGTTTTCAAGTTTTACTAATTTGCTGTTTTACCTTCTTGTCGTAGAAAAACAGGTAATACCAATTTTTGCACGAAACATATTTCATTTCACATCGTATTATTTAGGCCTATTTACCAAATACCTAACAAATTAATTGAAATTTTGTAATATTTGCTCTGAAATACAATAAGAAATCATGTAATCTGATATTTGTCTTTAATAACGCAATCATAACCATATCTCCAATTCCAGACCCGACTTACGGCATCTCCTTTCACCCTGAAATGCGATTTTTTATATTTCCTCAATTTGTGTATGTATAGTTCGTATATACTATACAGCATGGTGAAAAAAATAAATTACTGATTACAATCTTCTTGTAATGATGATACATGCAGTGGTGGGATTCAGCCGGTTCGCACCATTGAGGTGTATATAACACCTCAATGGTTCGCACCGGTTCTATAGAACCGTCTCACGGAATTTCATGAAATCAGCAAACCGGTTAGCATTAATCAGTTTATTTACTAAAAAATATAACTTTTTATAATAGAACTGCCTGAAAAAATGTGACTTCTGTGATGAAACCGGCTAACAAAAAATCCCACCACTGGATACATGGTACAAACTATGAAACTTCATGATTATATTATAGATGTAAATATATGTGTTATAATGTTTTGCTGTTGTGATGTGAGAAAGACATCGGGAAGGTAAGACACAACGAAATCGTTGGAGTATTTCAATGAATGTCATCGAACTATCGAAAATTTTTGATTGAGTTAAATTTGTTGATTTTTGGCATTCAATCAATGAGGTTTGGAACATTGGTGATATTTACGCTTTGACCGGACTAATCAGGCGTCGGCGGAAGGTGAGCGCAATCGTTAGAGCAAAGAGGGAAGGGAGCGGTCGATCGTTGTTCCATACTTGGGGGGAAGGGGTGATGAATATAGAAAAGTTTATTTACATGAAAACAAATTTATATTAAAATTGTTTTCATTTTATAATGATTCGATACCTTAGTACTAAAATCGAAATACGAAAATTCCGTTCGACATTGAAGTTTGTTGGACAAGTTAGTGGACATAACGATCGTTTATGTTGTTTGACCGTAAATATATACTACTACGGTTTGACAAGTTGGACACCTAGTGGAAAACCGGAAAAGTCGCCTTCCTCTTTGATTATAGGACCAATTGCTCTGAAATTTTCCGCGGTTAAAAATAAAATGTTCTTCAGAAAGCTATTACTTTAATTTATTTCAAAATTTCCTGATAGCACTTTGGAATTCGTTTTTTTGACACGCAATGAATTTATTTTTATGCTGGCACTCTTCTTCTTGTTCTTCTGATCATGTGCTCATCGAACGTTGGCGGTGTCGTGTAACGAAATTTTCGCTTTGCTAAAATTTGATACTGGGGAATGGCGAACAGCGCCTTAGCTACCGTACCGGTAGCGTCAAATGCAAGGTTTGCTTCTCTCTGATTAACGTGTCCATATATTTGTGCATTGCTCTCTTGTTTATCAATAAAATCCTGACCCTGGTGTGAGTGCTGCTGGTGAGTGGAGACCCGTTTAGGGTATTATTGGACATGAAATGGACCAATTGATCGTTTCCCAAATATTGGACAACGAAAAAAGAAACTCGTTAACTACAGGTTGAATTGCTTTGGAATTTCCAGTGGTTTAAAATTGTATTTCTGACTACTAGAAGGCTATAACTTTTACGGTATTCATTTCAAAAATATTTGTAGGTTCTATTAGATTCGCTTTTTTATGTGATTTTGTTTGGTTAATTTTGCTATAATTGATCTGTATATATTTAGTAAAAAAAATTACGATTTTTTTACGATATTTGTTAATTTGCATGCTCAATTATCAAGTTATATTGATTAGCGGGCCATCCCAACTGTCAATATTTGTGTCTACAGACATCAGGACATAGGAAGAAGATACCGGTAGAAGATTTGGGGCCTCATGTAGGCCTAGTTTCGTACCGTACCTAACATACTTCTAGTGGGCGTAGCATAACAATTTTTTCACGTGTCAATCCCAACCCCCACCTGACTACGTCATCCAAAAATTACGTCACAGTGATGTAATAGAGCCCTTCAAACTATACGAACTGCCATCCAAGACGAGCACCCGAAATCGAACAGCTATTTTTCTCAACACTACGTAATTACATAGCTAGTCTAGGTCTTGATGGCTAGTCAAGTGGGGGTTAGGAATAGGATTGACATCAAAAAAATTTTTAGTCTTGTACCACATGCACTTCTAGCTGGCCTGGCTCAACAATTTTTGCATATGTCATTCCCAATCCCCACCTTACAATGTCACCAAAAAATTAGTCACTACGTTGTCACAGTGGCGCAATATGAGCATCCCGATATGAGAGATATCGCTGGCGTTAGTGAGTTTGTTATCGGCGGGGCGGATGCCATTTCGGGCGATCATAGCTATACTTTGGCAAGCACTATGACAAGATTCTGATGTCGTAGTGACTTCATTTTTGGATGAACTAGTCAGGTGGGGGTTGGGAATAACATATGTTAAATAGTTGTGATATGCCCACCGGAAGTACTTGTGGTACGGTACTGAACTATATCAGACCTAGAATTTGGACTGCAATAAATTCCTATTTCCTCAAGTAATCAATCTTTCAAACAGTTATGAAATTTGTTTTTTATTAAAGTACAAACACTTTCATATTACAGTATTAAGAGTTTGTGTTTGAACAGGTTTGATATTTTGGTACACATTATACGGGTCTCCTGAAGTATGCGTCCTTAGGTACTTCTAGTTGGCGTAGCACAACGATTTTATTAGTATAATATTCCTAACCCCCACCTGAGTACGTCACCCAAAAATTATATCACTGCGACGTCACAATCATGTCATAGAGCTTGCTAATAACTAATGCCAGGCCGACTAGAAGTACTTGCGGCGTGTACTTCAGGAGATCCCAGCATACCAGTCACATCACAAGAAATGATTTGTGACATAGAACATACAGTCTACAGACATATCGTTTTGCATTGAATCACAAATTGGATATAAATCCCTGTATAACACAATTTGCTCAAGTAGATTTACTTTTTAGTTCAAGCAGCAATCTACCTTGGGATTCATTGGGGTGTCTTGCAATCGCAACTCCATTTTCATGATTCAAAACTATGTGGGATAATCCTATTTAATTGAATGATATTGTTGGATCTGATATAATAGAACGTTTTTATTTCTCTTTATATTTTATCTGATTTGCTTTGCAGTTTTTATCTATAAAATGTTTCTGTTTCTATGTTGACCTCTCATAATATCTTGAGTTTGCATATAGGTGTGAAGAAAACTAGATAATAAATTGGCCGAAACTTTTGTGATATGTCATCAAACACTATGGTCTAATGTTCATTTTATATTTTGTTTTATGATTCGGATTTCTTTATTGCTTTGTTTTTTATTGCATGTTAAGTCTTGCAAACATGTATTTTAAATCTTACTCCAATCTCTCTCAACTTACCAGTCAGATCTTAGTAATAATTTTCAAATATATCCGATTTTATAGTACTAAAAGCATAGTACCGACTGATCAGATCTTCAGTTAGAAACAGATTTCCTTGTAATTGATATGGATAATAATGGAAATGTTGTCAAACCAATTCATAAGAAGAACATAAAACAACCAAATATCACTAAAACAGAAGTCATTCACAGCGGAAAATGGCTGTCATCCAATATTATACATTATTCAGATGAAGATGGAGTTGAAAGACAATGGGAAAGTGTTAGTAGAGTAACCAAAGTAAATTCCGATGTAACAGATGGGGTTGCAATAATTCCTGTTTTAAAACGAAGACTACATCATGATTTTTTTCTTCTTGTTAAGCAGTTCAGACCACCAATTGGTGGATATTCTCTTGAATTTCCCGGTGGACTTATTGATAAAAAAGATAATGGACCCTGTAATGCTGCAATACGTGAACTGTATGAAGAGCAGTGTTCACTATTAGCGCACTTTTTTGCGAAAATTGCGAAGCACTTTCGCAACTTTTTTTAGGGACTGCGAAATAGCACTTTTTTCCGATTTTGAAAAGAAATAGCACTTTTTTTCGATTTTGAATGGAATAAAAATTCAAAGTTGACAAATGTTTTTGTGTGCGTATTAAGTTGACAAATAAGTAACATACTAGTACTTTTGTAACTCAATTCTGCATATCATAACGATATTTACCGGAATTCTAACCTATGTGGTGAAGACATGGAAGATAAAGCTTTTGCATTAATGGCAAAATTCTTGTTTATAATATGATTATTATACAAGCACACCGATTCCGCTTCGACCGCGAAAACGCTCGGCGGCGTCTTTGAAACCAGATGTCCGAATGCAAGGCAGTGCGTTTCTCTAAACGAGAGTGGTCCATGTGACTGTCAATGACATCGATGAATTGTGACCAAAGTACACGATTTTCTAGTACTGGTTTGACAGGTCTGTGTTCTCTTCTTAGTGAATTTACTGGAGCCATTCAGAAATTTCTGATACTCGACACGACATTGTTTAGTAGTGGAATGTAAACTTGGGCCATTGTTTGTTAAATTAGAAGAAACTTTTAGCAACATCTCACAGATTTGCAAAATCGCCAAAATTGACAAAATACATAGTCGTATTAACATTTAACAGCCATTTTATTGTAACCACGAATGTAAAAGCAAATGGCGTTTCGCGGAATTTTTGCGATATTTGTATTAGCTAGTCTAGTCATTCACGATAAATCAAACTCAGACCAGGGTCAAAAATCAATCTAAACTATTTCCTCATTAATATGCGAGTCGGGGTGGGCAAAATCGAATATTTTTCGAATTGAATATTTTTAACGAATAAGGAATATTTTTATGCACAGCAGGAGTCTAGAACGTCGGTCGAAAAATTAGCAAGGAAGCCTTTTCTACTGGTTAATTTCGTTATAATAGCTAATTGTTTTTGTCACCGCAATCGTTTTGGCGACTATATCCTGGGTTTGGCAATCCAGGCTTACCGTTCACATCGGCAACAGCTGTTAAGGGCATCAACGACAAATTTCAAAACCAAAATAAACATTTGCGTTGACTTGATATTACCTATCAACGTTTGTAAATTTACTGTCCCAATTTTAAGCGAATGGTATTATTATTATCGATGCCGGAATGCAAATATTTAATACGATAATTAACTTTTATAATTTTTTTATGGTGTCTGTATTCATTTACAGATAAATCTGGCAAATCTGAGATTGTGCCAATCCTGAATGTTGATTTAAAATTGTGATTAAATAATTCGGTAATAAAGGCATTTCTGCGTGGCCATAAGACGAGATGACTTTAATAAACAGCACTTCTTTAAGGATATTTTACATATGCGACTAATGCTAAAAACATTGGGCTCGAGTGCTCTGGTGCCTAATCAGGCGCTAATTGCAACTAATTCAACTCAAGTTTCAACGACTTTTTTCGTCTTCACGATATGTTATCTTTTTTTATTCGGTATTGATAATGATAAATAAAAAATGTGTAATTGTTGATTGCAATTCCGGAAAACGAACGAATTTAACCGCGGTTAACCGCGCATTGGAAAGCAAAATACAATTTATTAACATTACTTTACAATGAGTTACGGGTAAGAATTAACCAGACGGCTATCGCTAACATGTAGAAACAATAAATTTGAAACGATTTTGCATAAAGCGTGTCAACATCGTTGTTGTAAATTTAGAAACGTCGATAAGTAAGACAAGTAAATAATGTATTTTATGGAACTTTCATGAGATATTTGTGAGAAATATGTTTTTGACCATGTCGAAATGCCATTATTGCCGATTTATTCACGTGTTTAGTTACTATCAGTGTTTTAACCCAAAGCTGAGTTACGTAAATACTTAACACTGAGTACTCAAGAGATAACCAATTTGCGGAGTTTTTCAATTATTATTTAATACGAAAGTAACACAGACACGATCTAAAATTAAAAGCATAGAAATGTCAACTATCTGCTTCACAAATATCGCATCCCGGGGTCAGTAATAATATTATTGTTCGCTTAAACTCGGGACGGTAATTTACGAACTGATACAAATCCTACACAGAAGATAAAAATCAGAACAAAATCAATTTTCGTTGTGAATGCGCTCATTAATAGTTGTCTTTAAAATCTTCGCTGATGTGAATTCACAATTCTATCCGAAATATAAAAACCAAACTACGATGTCCGCCGTTATGTGAGAATTAATATTTGCTAGTGAATAAAAACATGCTTTAATATAGTTTAACAACACGATCGCGGCGACAAAAAATTTACTGCAGCCTTCGATTATGACAAAATTATGAAATAATCATTGAATGGCAATAAAAATTTAACTTCATTAACAATAATTCTCAAGTAATAGTTTCACATTTTCATGATTTTGATCGTCGCTACATGCGAGCGTGTTTTTGTACATATAAACCATGATGACACTACTGACATCTGCGAGTTATAGATCTCTCCAAATTTAATTTTCGCAATTTTTAATGTTTCATTTCTAGATGCGGATGCCCGCTGACTACGGATAAATGGTCGATGTTTAAAAATAGGACTTCGGACCGTTGGGCAAAGAAAGGCGGGCTACACGTAACTGCGAAATTTCGCTGTGAACGACCTTACATTTTAGTTACAAACGCATTACGTCGTCGCGAATTGCAGTTTTGGTGTAATGTTTTAACTTCCCCCTAATCTCCCGTTGAAAAAATCCTGGCTGCGCCCCTGCCCGGTGATAATTCTAGCTAAAATGTTACAATTTTATTTACGGAATTTGCAAATTCACCATTTTGATAATCACGCCCTAATTATTGGTGCAAAAATACTCAAAATATCACGAATTTAATCATTTCCGATGTTACTAGGCGCAATTCATGACGGCGACAGTGTGCGTTGTTACATCGAAATTCACGATTGATTTTACGTTATACTCTTGTTCACGATTTCAACCTTCCACCCGCCATGCATGGCTGAGTGGAAGGTTCACATTTTCGAAACATTACTTGGCCAAGGATGGGAGGGATCACTAACGAGCTAATTGAAAGCACATTAAAAGGATTATGACTTGTCATTTTTTTCTGGTTATAGCCTGTACATGTTATACCATGTGTGGGCTCTCGGAACGTCAATTTAACTTTTAATTTTCGACAATCAATTGTATGTGCGGCTCCTACATGAAACGGCTAATTCATGCTGCCAATATACGGAGTTTGAAATCTGGGATATTTATTTCGAATAGTCTATTTATTTTGACTCTTCTAAAATTAGGAAGCTTTGTTGGTACCTTTTTGGCGCAAAGTATGAAATTGAAACGATACGAATATTTTGCCCAGTCCTATAGGCGAGGTTATGATATTAACGCAGAGAATATTTTTAAGCATATCACTGGATGGAAATATTTTGCACCAAGACTGTTTGCAGAAGTTGATTTATCGAATACACGGATAGTATTTATTTATCATTTCACTTGCGAACATCGGGGTTTGGGCGGAATTATACGATTATGTTGTTGTTCTTAAATAATAACTTTTTCGATGAATGTTTATTTTACTTTTGTGTATTAATTATGATATGTTGAGTTTTCGTTTATTTCAAATTCGAAATTGTCCGGAATACTCAAACAGGTGTAATAAGTGTAATATTGATAGTATAGTGTAATCGAGTAACCAACTTAGAAGTCTTTAGAGATGTCTAATGAACTTGATGTGTTACGGGTGTCGTAACCCCCGTTTTTTTTTATTAAATTTGATTGTTCTACCTTCCGCTTATAAAACAACATCGTTATACGGTCATCTAAGGTAACTCTCGCGACCAAATCTTTTTGTTCTGTATGGCATCACCTTAGCGCCATTTATTACCGACTGAATTTTAATTGTGATTTATGATAAGTTATTTTCTGTTAGTTGGCGCTGATAACGTGGCTAATTTCTTTATAAACATTTTTAATATGTTTAATTTTAAAATTTTAAATTTTTTTTAAATATGTTCCTTACGTCTCTGCTATAATTGACAAGCGATAGCACAAGATTCAGCAGCAAATGATAAGCAAAGCTATTTTATAACCATGGGTTGCTTAATAAAGATTTGCTAATTATGGCAGGATATAAAGAACATGGCCTGAAATATATAATTAACAGAACGATGTTTATTTTTCAGTCGACGAAAACCCTTAATAATAACGATTGCCGAAATCGCGAAAAAAATGAATACGGATTTTCGATTGTGATCAGATGACTGAGGGCACATGTTTTTTTCTCTGTTCAAAGCAGATATAAAACGAATACCATGTTGCCGAAAAGCGGTTACGTGTTATCTTTCTTTAGCCAATCAAAATAGTGGTAATGGTATATACAAGAGGTTTCTACACTTTACAAACTCGGAACGCAATTAATATTAAAATTACAAGTAATGGTGCATGGAAAAACGAATTTGATTTTATTGAAATTGAAACGTACACACATAAGAGTTTTACATTTCATGCACAACTAACCGATGCTACATGTGAGATTTGTGCACATGAACGATTATATATCGCGATTATTTATGTGAGAATGCGTACTTCTCTTTCAACTTTAATTTCCAGGATTTCGGCGTTCACGTGGTCGACTAAAAAAGATTTATCAAATGGATTGGTATTTCGCGTCACACTCAAAATTATTTGGGAACCACTATCATGTCATTCGTTTATTTTTTACATTCATGTTTTTTTTCAAGAATCACCCTGTTGTATTCCCTGTACCTTCGCAAAGGAAAACTCTTTGGTGTTATCATTACTATTAGTGTAATTGAAAGTTGCGTTGAGATGCGAATATTTCATACTAGGTCTGCAGCATTAGAGAGAGCGTTATTTATAAATGCTGGAAGTACATGGCATTTCTAAAAAAATAATTGCAAATATATGATGTTTTCTACCCGATTTGAACTAACTGGCACGCAAACCAATGCAAGTCGATATTTGAAAATTACAGGTCTTAGCGTAATCCGTGAGACAGTGTAATATAAATTAGGCCAAGCTAGCTCATGAAAGGGATTTCAAAGTGATCTTGCATAATATTTCGGAAAAAAATCTTCGATAGAAAGTAGGTCACTCTATCTATAAAAACAGCAGTACTTTCATGGTGATCTTGCGTTATTTCCCAAAGAAAAACTGGCCAGAGAAACATGACGTTAACCAATCTCTTAAAAGGGAAGAGGGCGGACTACTTTCAAGCATATTCTTTCGGAGGAGGAAGCGTGTTATACTAAAGCGATATTGGTGATGGGTCATGGGGATGTCATTTTGCCCGGGTTTTGTACAAATGATCCCCCTCCCTAGCTATGGCCGGTAGTAACTAATATCTGCATGTATCAATCGGTGTCTGTTAGATGGAAGAAACAAGTTTGCAAGGCTTGTCTGTTCAGGCGGGAGTGCGCTTCGTTACTGACGCTGGTGGTTGATTGCACGAAACTTTTATTCCCGACAAGTGTGCTTATCAGGTGCCTTTTGACGAATTCGCTTGTTTTTAACAAGAGTTTAAACGAAACTCCGTTAACGGAAAGACTTCAATTCACAATATTAACGGAAGGAGCGCTTTTTCGAGTATCTATGCTGTTTGAAATGAGTTTAAACGAAAGCTAGGGCACCTAACTAGTTAAAATCAGAAAAAGCACTTTCGCACTTTTTTTTCGACTGCGAAGCACTTTCGCACTCATAATTTCCTTAGAGTTAACACTGATGAAGAGACAGGTTATTGTGGTAAAGTTACCGAAGTCTTTGAAAATTTTAACGCAACGTTAGATCCTGGTGTTTCAGAAACAACAATAACATTCGTTTGTATGGAAATAGATGGTGATAGTAAAGACAATGCAATACATCAACAGCATTTGGATGATGGTGAATCTATTGAGATTATACTTTTTCCAGTCAGAGATTTTACATTGGCAAAGTTAACAAAATGGTGCAACGACTCACAAGATAAAATATCAGTTGATTCGAGGGTGGTAGCATATGCATTAGGTTTGCAAATGGGTTCAAATATGAATAGCAAAAAGATGTCAATGCTAATGGATGATCCACCTAATGAAACATTCAAATAATTCAACATTCTTCCCATGTGTTCACTGATTATGAACTTATTATTGCAGGGATTCTTGCAATAGATTGATGCTATGAAATCCATTGCCGCATTCTAACTTAGTGAACATTGACAGCTTGGCAGGAATATTATGCATTTTTTTTGATAATAATGAGTAAAATTCGAATTTAAACTATTAGTGTAGCCATATAGGTTGTTTCAATTACTCAAAACATACTAGCAAGCCATAAATGTCTGTGAATATCATGCCTTAGACATGTGGTAATCTTATCTTTGAGCACTTGTAGTTTGTGAAATAATGTTATTCTCATGATCCATGTATTATTTTGACAAGATCTGGTAGATTTGAGTGTAGTTTATGTCCTCCTACTTAGTTCCTTTTGAATTTACCCAGTATTAAGGTATTAGAACACAATTATTGTCTAATAGTATTCAAAGTAAAGTGAATGAGTGAAAAACTTGTTATCATAAAGTTCAATTTTAACATTTCCTATATTAAAAGCCAGTAGGCTAATCAGTTGTCGTTTTCAGTAGTTGTTGCGCAAGCAGATGCGCAAGACAGATTTTAGCTCCAATACTACCCTAATATGACAAACATCAGATTGTGTAATTAGTTATACTCACACCACAACTGCTTTGTACCGACATGTTGCGGTTTGCAGTTGATTATTAACTTATGACTTAACGGCAATCATGAATTATTAACGACTAAATAACTGACTGCCATTTCTTTTCAGAGTATGAGAATAAGAAGGTTCTTTCGTTTTAGATCAAGTCACCTGTGGAACTCTAAAATTTTAAAAATGATGAAAATAATTGCTATGTACGTGGTGCCGTTGGTGATATCATATTGGTACATAACCACAAGCTTGATATTGAATGCTGGTGTTATATTGGGTGTTTATCTTCTCACTGGAGGATGGAAGTTTGCTGAAATTTGTGTTAAAACACTTAGGCGTGATTTGTTTGCTCTTTTTTGCCTTGTGAGGTTCAAATTATACATGGCAAGGAACATACGTCGCAATCGTACTGTTCCTGTAATCTTTCAAGATCTTGCTCGTCAGCATCCTATGAAGGTTGCACTACAATGGGAAAATGTGAAATGGACATTCTCAGATTTAGAAGAATATTCCAATGCAATCGCACATCACTTTAGTGGGTTGGGGCTGAAAAGAGGAGATAATGTTGCAATTTTTGTATCCAGTCGACCAGAATTTGTAGCTCTCTGGCTTGGCCTTTCAAAAATTGGAGTCGTGTCTGCATTGATCAACTTCAATCTAAGAGGGGATGCTCTTGCACATTGCATTAATATTGCCGAAGCGAAAGCTGTTATTATAGATGAAGGTTTGGCCACTCATATCAAAGATGTTCGGGAAAACTTAAAGGGAGAAATGAGTTATTACACTGTTTGCGAGTCAAGTGAAAAACAAAATGCTGGTGATCAAAGTACATTGATGGAAAATGCTAAATGTCTTGATCATGTTTTTAAAGATGGCAATCGTAATCCGCTTCCGCAGCCAAAAGATGCCGACTATTTTGATAGACTAACATACATTTACACATCTGGGACGACTGGTTTACCAAAAGCAGCTGTGATTACACATAATCGGTTTATATTTATGTGCACTATGCCCCACTATATCCTGTCATATAAGAAAGATGATATCTTGTACTGTGCACTTCCTCTTTACCATTCTAACGGTGGAATCGTTGGCTTGGGCCAGTGTTTAATTCATGGCTTGACTTTTGCATTTCGCAGTAAATTTTCAGCATCTAATTTCTGGACTGACTGCATCAAGTACAATGCAACTGTTATTCTGTATATTGGCGAGATATGCAGATATCTACTTGCCCAACCACACAAGGTTACAGATAAACAACATAGAGTCAGGTTGATTTCTGGCAATGGATTAAGACCTGAAATTTGGGAGGAATTCGTAAGCAGATTCAACATTGCCAAAGTTGGAGAGTTCTATGGTGCTACAGAAGGAAATGCCAATCTGATAAATATTGATAGCAAGGCTGGTTCTTGCGGCTTTGTCTCTCGCATTGCACCATTTGCTTATCCTGTAAAACTGATGCGGGTCGATGATGATAGTGAGTTTATACGTGGACTAGATGGATTGTGCACTCCATGTCAGCCCCGTGAGCAAGGAATGATTGTTGGGAAAATTATCAAAGGGAGTCCAACACAAGGATATGTTGGATATGCTAATGAATCTGCCTCTCAGAAGAAGATTGTTAGGGATGTATTAGAAAAAGGCGATCAATACTTCATATCTGGTGATATTCTGGAAATGGATGAACTCGGTTACATGTACTTCCGTGACAGAACTGGAGACACGTTTCGATGGAAAGGTGAAAATGTATCCACAGCTGAATGTGAATCTAGAATAGCCAAAGTGTTTTACAAGAAATTAACCGTTGCAGTATATGGAGTAACAATCCCTCTGGCTGACGGAAAAGCTGGAATGGCTTGTATAGAAGATCCTGAGAAAACTGTCGACATTGAAAAACTATATGGGCAATTGGAAATGATTCTACCTAGTTATGCCAGACCACTGTTTATAAGACAAACAGATGCAATCGAGGTGACCAGTACCCATAAGCTCAAAAAAGTTAACCTGACGAAAGAAGGCTTTGACATACATCGTATAACAGATCCTCTCTATTTCTTCGATTCAAAACAAAAGAAGTATGTTCCGCTGGATCCTGATCTATACAACAAAGTAATGGATGGCACTGTGAGAGTCTAATTAGATTGACTTAGTAATTATGGTTAGATTTTTATATGATTAGTATTTAATGAAATGAACTTTTTGAGATTGTTAATGAACCTTATATTTATCACAGCTTTTGTCTCCTGCATCAAAACGCTTTGTTAAAATTTGTTCATCATAACGCAGTTTTTTATATTTTCGCTATAGTTTTTAGAAATCACATACGAGAAATTTCATTCTCCGCACTATACTTTGGTCATATTTTGTATGTAAACTAATTTGCCAAATCTATGCATATTTGTTTGTAATCATCTGTACATCACAAATCGAATTAAACCTCACTTCAATTTTAGTCCGTTCACCCATTTTATATCGCTATTTATGTAATTCAATGCAAATACACCATTATGATTCCTGGAGTCAAATTTCTAATTTTCTGTTCAAATGATGTGTTATTATATTGGAAATATTTGAATCAGGCGATTGAATAACTGCATTGTTTCTTGAATGGGAAATAGGAAAGTTCATCAGTGCTATACTAAACATTACAAATATGAAGGGTTGGATATTGTTGCACAAAACATCGTCAGTTTTACAATCGAATATTTTCTTAAAGTGAGGTCACGCACACACATGCACTGTTCTCTGTGCAAGTTTAGGGGGGACAACTGGAGTGCCGGGACCTGTTGGGAATGGTAACGACGAATTATCCGTTAGTGAATTTCGGAGAACTCAAGTTCACTGAAAAAACTTTTCATCTGGTAGGCACACTGATAGTAAAAGTACGAGAGCTCACAGTCACAAGAGTATGACAGCTGAAGATTTTCACCTATAATCAGTTTTATTTATTTTGTTTTTATTAATTATTTTATCATCTATTGCTGACTATGGAGTCGAAATAAACTTATTATTATAAACCCAATGAGATGGCATATCCAAATGGTCTTTTAATATCACGGGCTTCCGTGCGTTTATTAGTTTATGTCCGGTATAGGATTAGTTAGCCAAGCCAGTTACTGGCTAACTAATTCCATAACCGAAAAGGACTGGTAACCAGACGAGAGGCCGTCGTTCGCCATATGATTAACTGTCTTATCGGCTTTCCTCTCCCCCCGGGTTAAATATGAAAGTCCTATTTGGAGCGTGAAGCATTGGCCTCTGAAATCGAACTCGCGAAATGCAATTACAAAATTAGATCCCGACATTCCGTTTTGCAAATTGGTTGCCGGCCGTTGGGTATGGGTACCGCCGTACCGGTATAACGCACGGATGCTACCGTATAGCAAGAGTAAAAACTGGAAAATTACTATTCTATTTAATTCAAGAGTCTTGCTGCACACTTCAGCTCTTACACCTAGGTCATAGGTTCTCAAAGTGCTCCGTACGGAGCCCCAGGGCTCCGCGAGAGAAACCCAGGGGCTCCGCGAGCTATTGGATTACTTTTCAAAGTACTGACTTGGCTAATTTAAAACTGTTCGTAGAAGCAATAACAGCTTTGATAAAATTTGACAACAAGATGTCCTTGAAATATGGCAAAGTGGCGGAATTAAAAATGACAATATTTATAAGCAGGAGCGCAGCCAGAATTCTTTAGAGGGAGGAAGTTCAAAATTGGAATCGGAAATTTACGCGCAACATTCTTGGCGATTCAAAAAAAAAAACGGATAACGAGATTTCTGTTGCGTAAAATATTCAATTCATGACCGATGCGAGCATTTAAAGTGTCTTGTCGTAATAATTCAATTGTGCTCATCGTTACTCACGTTTGATCAGAGATTACTATTAGGATTGCTAAAAGGAAAAAATACTATTCTAAGATAACATAAACTGCGTGATAAACTGCCATCTATAAATAAATTGGAGTTGTATTTTTGCGATCTTGGGATATGTTAAACTTGATATCGCCGTTTGAAAAATCACAAGGATTGGCAAAATACGAACGATTGAAATTTATTTTAGTGCATGCGACTCTGTCGGTAGTTTCAGAATGGAAAAATGGTACCTAGCGCGCATAAATAATTGACTGTGTTTCAATTTCGCAGTTACCACGATGAATAACCGAAGAAAACCTAACATAACACCAAATTTTGTGATTTACAATGTCTATAAAAGCGTTTGATTGATTTCATAATTTCCCACGAGAACGAAAAAGCAATTATCGTCGTCATTGTGGAACAATACATGTATATGCCGAAGGGAATTTTTGATTTAGGGAGAATAAACACTGGCGTAAAGATGTTTGAGGTTTAAAAACACGCCATGCTGACGAAAACAATCGGAGATTGTAACAAAATACAATCGCGCACGTTATTAGCGGCCTTAAGTCTTCCAAAAATGTCAATAGGGGAAAAGATTCGACCACTAATTTAAAATTTACAGCTTTAGTCTCTTACAATTTATCTTTGAAAAAGGTTTAGTATTTAAATTGAGTAAAGTACGTTTAACTTACTCTGGAATAATAATCGGAAAGTAACAATTTTAACATTTATTTTGGGGCTCCGTGAATAATAGTCAACATTTTCAAGGGCTCCGCAACACCAAAAGTTTGAGAACCCCTGACCTAGGTTATGCCCGTCTCGATTAAATCATAATCAGGCCGTGTAGATTTTAGAGAAAAAATAAATGGAGTAGCCTTTTAACGACTTCTTCCGTCTCCAAGTACTGAAAATATCAAACTGATTGTTCAAACACGATTTTACATATCACTGTGTTATGGACAACACTATTTGGTCACATACTGGTAACTATTTTTGCAATTTGGAGGGTCTGGGGTGGAAAAGACAGCTGAAAAGTCTGAAAGTGGAAAAGCTGGAAAGTGAATACAACAGAGTTGTGAAGAAATGTACGATTTTTTGCCCACAGATATTGCACTCATACTACACAAGACAGTTTTATTCTGTAATTTGGTTTTTTAACTCGGTTGAACTTATATATGGCCACTTCGTGAATGGTATTAATCAGAACTTCACCATATCACAGAATGTCCTGTTCACTTTATAACAAAGTTAAGGACTAAAGAGGTTTCACTTTGAATAGTATAGTATGCTGGCAGGGGATGGAAATTTTAAAGACACCCACAAATTTTCAAAATTGCAAGTGTGCTTTCTGTTTAACATGGTTGTTTGTATTGTGTTACTTTTGATAAATATGCCTTGAATTGTTCATCTTGTTTCAATGGCAAAATTATCCATGTTGTATTTTTTTATGAGCTCCTGCAACCTTACTCTGTGGATATTATTTTGGCAATATCTATTTTTTCCTCTTCTGCTGCCAATAAGTGGTTATGTACCACCTAAGACATCAGCATAATTTTCTACTGTAACATCAATGTTTCACTTTTGCTCATGGTATTTCTTTGTGTGAGTGTGTAATTGAGATTGCTTTTACTGTTTTAATAAATGATTTTACACCTCCATGTTGCCTGCCAATATTGACAGTGTTTGGATATTGTTTTGGTAAATAGTTCCAATGTATATAGCTTTTTTGTGTTTTTTCCTGTGTTACTAGTCACTATTTTCTTCTAACATTGGCACGCATTGTTAGGTATTTGTATTCACAGCTATTGTCACTCTATTTTTATTCCCACTATTCAAAACTTCATGCTGCTTTTCAACCAACGACTAACATACCGTTTTCAACCATGTATTTATTTATCTGTCTTGCACATTTGATAGTTTTTTGGTGATTTTTTGCATTTCTGACAGCAAGCGATGTCTCCCATAGATTTTGACTTGTATATTTTTATGCTATATAATAGGAATCTCAGAACCAAAATTTACATAATTCGAGATCAGCTTTATCTATATATATTTACTGCAAGGCTAATCCTGGCGTTTTTTCTGCTACCATAATCGTATACGAACATTTAAAACAATTATCATAGACGGAGGAGGTCGTTGGGATTCTATTACATTTAATTTTATCTACCTGAAGCTTGCTGTCTTATTTCAAGCGCCACACTTATTTTACTCCATGTAAATTATCCACTAATTCAAGCAATTATTTGGCTTTTATCATTTTAAATTGATTTATAAGCACTGCCCGATTTTGAATAGTGTCCATATTTCTCGTATACTCGTATTATTCCTATTTTATTTTTTGGTGGGTGGGCACGTACTTGAACGTTTTTTAACTTTATTTTAAGTTATGCTCGCCTTCCAGGTATCTCTGTTTTTGTTGTCTGTTTACTTTTTTGTATTGTTCTGTTTTAGTCAGAGAGCCGAAATAAAATGATTGATTGATGATTGAACAACGGCACAATTAGAATTCGCGGGGTTTTGTGAACTCTTTAGTGCAGTGGTCGGCAACCTTTTTCAAGTGACGGACCGGTAAAGCTTGACCAAACTTTTGGCAGACCACCTTTATACAAACGACCTAAGCCTATGCAATAAATTATACGCATTAGGAAATTTATGTTGACAATATACTAAAAATGACGGTGATGCCATTTAATGTGATGTCTGTATTTGTTTGATGGCCATTAACTGTTCCCATATTCGAGATATGGTCTGTGGCGCAGTCCCGGGTGTCGGGGTCGAATTTTCTACGACTCGTTTCGTAACGAGTTTAACATTGAAACCCTTCACAACTGCGATGCTGACTGGGCATATCGAGCAAACTCGTTTTGGAATGCGCAAGAAAAAATTTTTTTTTTCCGTTCAAACACTTTGGAATGGTCGACCCGCGTCGCTCCGTTTTCCAGACATTTTCGAATTTTAAAAATCAAATTAACTCGAACGACATACAACCGACGCTACTTGTTACATAAGAAGCGCCGTACAGCAGCACTTGTCACCGCATAAATCCGTGTAGAGACAATATTAAATTTGGGATTAATTTTTGTTTTATTTATTAAATGTCGGGTCGTTCAAGGGCCGCAACAAATTAGCTCGCGGGCCGCATTTTTCCGACCCCTGGTGTTGTGTTTGTCTGGTTTACTGTTGGGTGCTGTTTTTTAGTCGTAGGGTTTGTGGTGAGATTGTGAAGGTTTTATTACGGCCTTGTCCGTTTTCGTGTCACCTCTCTGCGGACTGACAGTAACCTATCCGCGGACCGGCAATGGGCCGTGGCCCGGTGGTTGCCGACCACTGCTTTAGTGGAAGAACAATTGCCGTTTCCTCTTACAAGTGCACGAATCTTCTAAAGTCAGATAATATATATACACGAAACTGCTAAATCGATATATCAATTCATGCGCAATATGTTGTCAGAGGCTTTCAATATATCATCGTCTTGTGGATTTTACTAATCTACTTTAATTAACATATTGATATATATGTCACTGCCTTCTTATGAAAAAAAATCTTGCACATGACTTTGTAAATATACTGATAATAGCGTCATAAAACCATGGCAAGAGACGCCGCGGTACGTTCGTGGCAGGAGCTGCCATGAAGCGGTAAGAACTGCGCCTCCCAGGAAGGAGGCTTGGTCGGTGGTACGTACCAAACGCTAAAGTGGTACGCAGAACGTGAAAGATGTGATAATGTTCCCCGACTTCGTAAGTTCAAATCCAAACGAAATATATTTTAAGTTTGCACTTTCATTGTACCTATAAATAATCCTAATAAATGGCATATTAGAATTCTTTCATGTCGACCCATTTCATTTGGAATATGTCACAATCCTACATAGTTTTATGTGGTATATAAGTTAAATGGATGATGCTCCATGATTTCACTGCTTCCATAGTTTACTGGAAAACAGAAATTTCAATTTCCTCAAATTACTACAAAAATTGAACAGGAAGGATATGTAGGCTACATAGGGCATACCGTGTTTACCCGAAAATAAGACCTAGCCTGAGTTTTAAGAATGATTGTAATATAAGCCCTCCCATTAAAATGAGACTTAGTCAATAACACGAATTTTTTTTC